TACTTCAGATAATTAGTGGAGAACAGTCGTGGAGTGTTAACGTACATGCGAGACAAGTGAATAGAACCCCTACTTAATATTTGTCGTCTTGCGTTAAATTATAGAAACGGCACATATTCCTGTGTCCTAACTTTAACAATAACGGCAGTTCCACCTTCGCATGAAATAGAATATAGTGAGAGTAGACTTGCGCTGCATCTACCGCACTCTCTCCTTCCCCACCCAATCCCCGTGTCATGACCAAAGTGTGCCGTCACACCTGTACATTAACACGAATACTAACCGCAAAACAAACTTTTACACCAACCGTAATCACCCTAGGAGTTAGCGCGGGGTCAACTTAATTACATGGGGTCCTTATTTTCTTATCCCAGCATTCTTATTTACTAAAAGCATCGAAAAGTGTTAAGGACAAGGATAAGCGTCACTATACTGACCAACTGGGGGAAGGTATATTAAGCCTGGGCAACGAGTGAAATTCCGATGGTGGATTCTAGGGCGTACGATGTTTGAAGTTTAAGTTTAAATCATAGGGTGCGCTGGAACTCATAGTTGAAGTCTTACTAACGAACGGCGTTTAAAAAGTCGGTAGGAGTGACTTATATGACCTCCTAAACAGGACGCGGGAAAAGGAACGCCCAGCCTCAGTAATAAATTTGGCTCTGTGCATAATTCCAGGACGGGTAAATATTCCGGTATCCTAACCCTAACACTACCTGTAATTGAGCGGGATCAGGTGCTGACATTCAAGGGACCTCCTGTAAAATCAGCCTAAACCATAACTGTAAACGTAACCTTATCCTTCATTCTAACAGTACATTTCGCACTACTAACCTTAACCCTAAACATAATCCTAACTTACCTTTAAGTAACCTGTAAAGCTACCCTCACGCCCATCCCCAAAATTAACCCTAAGCCTAACCATAAAGCTGGTCCTATTTTTCCTGGAATTTGACGAAGAGACACCTGTATTGCGGGCGTTTCCCTTTTTCATGTCTTGTTAAGGGGGTCACACAAGTCATCTTTACTAAAAATCCAGAAATGACTTCCCGTGTTCCTCAAGTGCACCGGTAATGCTTCTCAATGATTGACTGTCGCTGTACGACAGCCAGGATAAGCTGTAGACCTGGGGCTCTACAACGAAAACGGAAAGGCCCATTTCCGTCCTGCGATCAGGACAGACTGCCACTCATTTGTGCCTTCAAGTGCGTCCTGAGGGCGGGGGGTAGAGTGGAGTTTTGTTGGCGTTTTTAATGGACAGGAAACAATTATTGCGGATGGGTAGGCTAGCTGTCTGGTAAACAGGTAGGAAAGGTGAATTTCGGCAGACGAAAGTGGTATCAGCTACAGGCGTGCCTAGGCTGAGATCATGCAGCCGCTACAGTAAACCCTTCATATAGGGGGTTTCGCGTTAGTACGGCGTATGTTACATAGGTAGACGATTCGGCGTGGTCTGGTCGTTGTTGGGTCGAGCCTTTTGGGTGAAAGTCATCA